AAGTACTTTTGTGAGCTTGGGGTGTGTTCGCGGTTGAGTATGGGCATCGTTCTGAAGTCTCATTACTGCTTTGTTTTCGGGTGCATTTTCCAGTTGAATTCTATCATGCAACCCTGCAAGGCAGGTTTCGGCGTTGCTGTGGCTCGATGCCCTCACTGGAAATTCATAGCATCCTAGGCCCAAGTGCAAGTACCCCGCCCAAGAGCTGACACCAGTTTTGGCAGGACTCTCATAGTAGTATAAGTGATCACTGCAAGACTCTAAGTGTTAAGCTTAGGCAGAAACATGAGTCCAAGGTTGGAGCACTGCTTGCTTAGAAGTGCTTAGAAGCTGGGGTTGTCGACCACCTGTGGAGGACAACCGTCCTAATGATCCCTGATTGTTCATGATTCTTCATGTCTGATTTGCCTCCCCCTTGACTCAGGTATGCCTTGAACATATGGATCACCAACAAGCCCTACCCAAATCGAACGTGGATCTGCTGGCGTTGAGCGTGCGGTATCCCAAGCACAAAGTCTGCCTTTGGAGACAGCACCTGCGCTCATCCAACCCATCAGCCATGGTATGAAAGTGCTTGAGTCCTGGCTTTGGGCTAGGAGCGGCTAGTAGTTGCAGAGCGCAGAAACCGCAGTAAGCTTGTCTATTGAAGCAATTGACGTCAAATAGAAGGTGCTGTGCTTGTGGGTTGCATCTCTAGCTCGGACACAACAGCGGATGTTAAAAAAAGGGCCACCGAGTGCTTCACTTCAGTACGGTTCAAGGTTAAGGGATGCAAGCTAGTGGCTGAAAGGTTTGAACCCCCACAGTGTTCTTCAACATGCTCCTCGAGCAAGACAGCTTTTCGCTTGCTCAGGGTGAAGAGCCAACCCATCAAACCATTGCAGCTTTTTGTATCTTTGCATCGCAATCAGGCCAGCCTTTGATTTCCTGTAGCTGAATGCTAATGCGGCTAATACGTGCTATTCCTGTTTTGCTTACAATCATGGCGAGGGTCCTGTTGTGATTGCTTCCCATTCCCGTCTAGAATGCAAACTGCTTGAGGTTCATACGCTTTTTCTGGACAAGCTTAGAGTTTGCCAAAGTTGCGACGGATCCGCTGAACAAGAATCATAACAACTAGGGAATGTCCCACTTGCCGTCACTCGACAATTCTAACAGCTTTCGGGGCATGGGCTTCGGTCAGAGGAAGAGGGCCCGGGGCTTGCAGCGCCAGGCTGTTGGAAAAGGTGATGCGTCAGACAAGCTGAAGTGGCCGCCATCTGAGCTTCCAGCAGTAGTACGTGCAGGAGCAAGGCTGTTTGTTACATGTCCACCTAACGGGTGCCAAAAGGCTTCAGCTGCAAAGGCCCTGGCCGACGGATGTCCGCGACGCCACTGGCAACTTACCACCTGAAAAAGCATGGGCAAGAAAGCATACGCATCCCAAATGTGATATTTCGTTGCGTCGGCATTTCGTCAAACCTCAAACTTTCAAGAAGCTTCTTGTGCCTTGCTAGGCCCCATAAAGCCTGGAGCATAGCTAGCCCCTGAGCTCATTATATAGTCCTGAGAAGAAATCTGATGTATCTCCCCACCCTTGTCCCCTGTGGACGCGATGGAACCACGCATGAACTCGCCCGAGGCTGGCAGAGCTACTTCAAACCCAAAACAAGGTGCAACCGGCATTAATTCAAGTGGGGCTTAAACGGGGTGCAGGGATCTTGGGAGAGTATCACTAGGGGCTCACCAGTACGGTACGGGAATTGAATTAGCTGCGGAGAGATCACTTGATAAGGTTGAGTGGTTGACGGTGTGAGATTGCCCTTAATAACTTTATTGAATCTTGGTGAGGTAGAGGGGGTGTTGCGGTGGAAATTCCCGTCTAGTGGCCATTGCGGGTTGCTCCATTGCCAGATTTTGGCAGCACCAGATTCCAGAAAGATCTCTTCCAGGGTTTAGGTGGACTTTGCCACATCACTGCTTGCAATCCCTTTTCCGAGGCTCGTTCAACTATGTTAGACATAAGACGGGGAGAGCCTTGAAGGATTTATGTTGGCTAGGTTCCTAGACCCCAAGCATTGCCCTTGTGAATGCTTTCATGTATCTGAACTGGGGCATGGCAAGTCATTTGTTTTTCACACATCTAGGAATCTTAGAGGACGCAAGAACGTTACGCCTCCAGCAATCTGAAAGGCTCCATTCAGGGGAGATCACTCTATAGGGACGATACTCATGAGACTTGATGATACGAGGATTGCAACATGCAGTTGTTTGGGATGCGTCGCCTGGTGTGTTTTTGAGAGAATTAGGCAGCCATCTTTTCAATAACCCCTATTGAAGCGCATGTGTCCTGCGAATCCGAAAGCTCCCATGCAAACCTCCCTTGCATGGTGCTCTAACTGTTGTGGCTTTCTAGTGGTAGACCGATTGCGACCATTGACAATCCAGACGACCTGCAAGGGGTCGTCCACTGAGCTCAGAGCAAGTCCAGTGTTTGTTGGGCATAGGTTTCAGTGATTGTCAAACGGCTCCAAGCATGACTGAGTCTCAACTAACTTAGAAGATCTGCTCCCTAGGTAGTGATGGCACCATGCTTCAGGAAGCCATGGCCCCGCACATGTTGCACATCTTCAGTTTATAGACAGGTAGGTGACTAGTGGAAAAGCTTCTCGTAAACGTAGTGTGTAGCTATAGCGAGCCCTATATGTGACAGCTGCACAGGCAAGCGTCGACAAGATGAGCAAGATCTTTCAGGACAGGCTTCCTCCGAGAGCCCTTCGAAGGGACGCCAAAAATTAAAAGAAACCCTCAACATGAAACCGGGGATTCTGAATGGAACCCCCTCGGGGGGTGTGAGGGTGGGGGTGGTTGAGGCCCTACGAGTTGCTTGAAGGATGTCTTGGAAAGGACTCCAGAGGATTCGGATGAAATGGTGCTTTGGCTCTTCCTCTTAATCTGTCTTGCTACCGGATAATGAGCCTACCCCAAGGCTGCAAGTCAGTCAGAACTTGTCACGTGTTTTGTTCAATAGTTGTTGTGTGGCCTGAAAAGCCCTAAACCTTGGCATTTTCGACCCTAAGCACTGCCGCATCTGCTGGGGTGTCGGGGGCGCTGCGGCTGCGCGTGTCACGTACGGCTGAAGCTGGTGGAGCTAATTTTCTGGTCAGGCTTGCAATTGTACCGCGATGCGTCGTATGGCTGAAGACACAGCAAGCATGATCTATCCACAAAACTTTTTGAAGCTGTCACTTCTTGATTTTAATCTTGACCAGTTGCAATGATGAGCCCGAGACAGCAAGGACAAATCGGCCCTAATGACGAGTCCATACAAGTAGCCTCATACAGGGATGTCCACACTTTGGGTCTGCTTCATAGGCCCTCATTTTCCGAGCCACAGTTTTGGGCTGAAAACGCTCATCCGCCATGGCGACAACTGCCAATGGCTTCAAGGCAGGAATTGCAGTGCCTTACAGGGATATTTCACGAGGCTTGACCAGGGCAATGTCAACATAACCTTACTGCAAAGCATGCTCAGGCCACTTGAAGCTGAACGGGCTTGTTTCAGCAGCCTCAGGGTAGACGCTTCGTCAAGTCACCTTCCTTCAAGCAGCAACCTTCTAGACTATGCCGGCAATGGCTTCAGAGGGATGGCCACTTAGGAGGCTGTTTGAGGAGGCTTTCAAAAGTGTTGAGTATGCTCTTCGTCCTGATACGCCACTACTCCCTACTTTAAGTCAAACAATCTGTTCTGAGCAAAGCACTTCTATGCTGTCTGGAGTGTTGTCTCACATGGCGCAGGAGTAGGACACAGTAGAAAGAGGCGGTGAGGAAGGGAGCATGATAAATCTGAGGGAGGACGGCAAGCTTTCGACGAGAAGTCGTCTTAGGCAAAAGAAGAAGGCCATATCGTTTATGAGCTTTTTGCTTGTCAGGGTTGAATACAGCAGAATCCAACCTCGAATTTCAGTGTTTTCCAGTCCTCTTGGATACGAGGACAAGAAGGAGCCTTCCAAATCTAGGTTTAGGGTTTATATGATGTATATGAGGTTTGGCAGGATCTCCCAAACCCTAGCCCCATAGCCTGAAACGCAGAATCCCATGCCCGTTCTGCCAGGTCCTCCTCATGGGCCGTGCCGGGGTGGGATTCCGAGAGCTTTGTTGTTTCATCCCAGGAAAAAAAGAAATTATGTTTCTTCCCTGGTTCCCAGAACCTGCCGTAGCTATGTGCATCTTCCTGGAACTTTACGGACGTGTGCTGGACGGTACTTGGTGTCATCCATCGCACACGGCGCAATCATGTCAGTGGTGGAAAAAGGCCAGCGGTGACACCCTTTTAAACCCTGAAGCAGTCGCTGAATGGAGTGACGATGGGGTATGAGGTTGTGTCCCTGTTTTGGATCTCTTTACAATCAGGAATACTCAGGTTAAGGCTATGCTGTTGGTGTTCCACGATCCCAGAATCAGGCTCTCTAGCGTACCCGAGAAGTAGGCATGGTGCTGATAGCAGCATGATGCAAATTGAGGCTGGAAAAACATCCATGAAATCGATCATCTTTGCCAACTATCACTCGAAGGCGGGCCGTACGTATTCATCGGTGCATGAGGTCCACAGACTGGCGTAGACCTTGGCTTATGCAAATACAACTCCCATGGCAACATGGCATTTGCCAAGAGGCAAAACTTGTGAGGTTAACTTGACGACGGTCTAGGCCCTATGTAAAGTAGTTTCCATTGAAGTTTCCACTTGATTCTCCAGTATTAACTATTAGAGTAACACCCAGAACCATCGCAATGGCCGAATATTTTGGTGGTCTGACTGTTGTCTTGCTATTGCAAGCCGAAGCTCAATCAACAACTCCATGGCAGAAGTAGCCCCAAAGACCCTGTACCCCTAAACCCAAACCAACCAGATTCCCTGATTAAGCTTACTGAAGGAGCGGAAGGTTACTCAGGTTGAATGGGGGAGAAACAAGCCAATCATATTTGCACTGGTTGAGTGGAGGGCAGAATCCTTTTGCCAGGACACCAAGCTACTCCAACCTACGAACCACGTGGAGCACAACTCGTCCGGTGCCCTGCGAGTGTGAAGTAGATGGAATTGAATAGTGAAGTTGATAGTTGCGACCAAGCAGCAACAGGAGCAGCTATTCATAACGGTTGAAACCGAAATCCTAGCAGTTGTGAAAGCAGGTAGGGGCTGTAGCCGCCAAAAAAAGAAAAATGAGTGGTACGCAGGAAGTATAGACGAGGCTTAGAGAAGCCAAAGAATGTTGCAGGCGGATGCTAAGAGCAATCAGAAGTAGACCATGCCAGACCAGCAGATGCTAGAAGGAAGTCTTTCGTTAGATATCACAGCCGCTTGAAACCAATTTCGAGGAGTTTTCTCAGCTGAGGCATGATTGCAACCCCTATATAGTCCCCATATATCCCTGCATGTATATCCCCCTATAGACCCCTTTAAAGGGACGCCATTATTTTGGGCATCTCAAATCTCGTCAGCTCCAAGGCTCCGGTTCCTGGGCAACCTTCGGTTGAACCTCTGGGACTGCGGAGGCCTAGAAGTGCAGCCTGTCTATAACCCCTATATGAGCTATAGTCTAAACTCCTTAAAGGGGGGTTCTATAAGGGATTATATAGGGGACTAGTATAGGGTATTTTATTGGGATACTACTGTAGGAGTTTAGACTATACAACCCCCCATATACTATAGAAGTTTCCATTTTCTTTTCCATTATCATTATCCATATATAATCCCCATATATTATAGTATCATCCCCATATGGCCAGGTGGACATGGAGATTTCCTCCATTAGATTAAGGAGACTTCTCGTATGAATCCGTTAATTCAAATGCAGGTTTGCATGTGAATACAATTAGCTTTCCACTCCAGCAACTGCGGCAATAGTGCCCCCCGCTCCATTCCATACTAACAAAACACTTTCTTCACGCTCTGGGCTAGGCCAAGATCAGTTCATGGAGAACTATTTCGAGTCCCAGCGTGAGAACATCTTTCAGCACTGCGAGGCGTCTTGGGTTTTAGGCTCAAGGCTTTGTGTGTTGGGATTTTCTCGAAATGATCCCCATTATCCACCTATAGAATGAATACTTAATGAGGACCCCAAAGTCTCCTTGCTTTGTATGCACCTTTTGAGTTCCCCAGGGCCGCGGAGCTTACACAGGGTTTGGGGTATCCAGTGTGGGGCTGTGGAAGACTGGAGTTCTTCAGAGTCCCGACCAGAAACTGTATGGGCGGCTGCCATTATTCTTTTTTGGTTTTTCGTTTTGCCACCATCATGATCCTGTGTATTTTCTAGTTTTACTTGAAACTCAATTCTCTGCTGCTCAGGCAGCCAGCTTGAAAGTGCTGAAGCTGGGTGCTAGGGTGAACGCGTTGCGACTTATGCATTTCGAGACGGCATGGTAGCAACAAGTTTTGACAGGAATCTAGGCACGACATGTTGGGGATGATGCGCTCCCGAGCTTGCAGTCTTCGAAGATGGTGATGCAAGTTCTGCGAAGTACTGCTTGGTGATCTGAGGGCGGGTTGCGCACTGTGTTCAAGGAGAGTGCGAACACTCCATTATTGACTTCACGTGGCACGCCAGGTGCTCATCTACGTGCTAGTTGCAGTACGTGACCAGCATACGCAAGTGGACGAGCGCAAGAAGGACAGGCGCTGCACCGTCAAGAGAGTCCCAGGAGTTTCCAGTCGTCATGGCCATTCAGTCAGTCCCTACGCTCTAATTGACCTCTATTAGGCATTCTCTGCACAGTCGTGTTACTTGACTGCAGCCAGTTGATCACAGGGCTGCTTGCCAATCAGGCTCCTTAGCATCTCATCCATGCTCCCCCAAAAAATTCCCATGGACAGGACATCGAGTACTTCAAGGCAGCCTGTGCGATGACCCCAGCTATGCCCGTCGGAAAATATTTTGCCATGAGGAATATCAGTCGTATTAGCTGACTAGCTATTCTAGTGCTCGCATTGTAACACGTCAAAACCTCTCATCCGTGTAGGGATGATATAACCTGGAATAAAGTCAGCACGTATTTGCATGGTAGAACCGTGATAGTTTAAATGAACGACGCTAGCAACAAATCTGAAAGAGGATTTTGCAGTTTGCTCTCCCTGGTCAAGCTTCACCAAACTCACCAAACTATTGTTTGTGTGGGAATGAATCAAAAGACGTGTGGCCTTCTGTGCTTGTTTGGTTAAACCGTGCTTCTGGACTAAGTTGTTTCTGAGATGCAGCCATGTATCGATATGAAGGGTTCGCAGTTAGTAGAGGAAGCATGCGGGGATGTTTTCACGATGTGAAGGGTCCAAGTTGCCTCCAGCGGAAGTATTTCAAAACATGACCTAGGGTTGATATGATGCCTGAGCAAGTCTAACGTGAATAATGCCGTAAAAAATCCATCCAGGCCCTCATATGATCATGCAGTTTTCCTAGTATCTATGGTGTGGCTGTCAGTTGCGAAGGTATGCCGTACCCCCACATGGGGCTTCCCAAGATTAGGGCTACCTGCTTGCGAGTCCCAAAAATACTGATTACAGTATTTTTGGCGTCTATATTTGGGTCCCCCCCAATTTAGGGAAATATCACATACATCTAAGTTTGGGATGCAAAGCCCTATCCTGGGAGTATTATAGGGTTTATTAAGGGAGATACTAGGACTTTAGACATTTGGTTCCTGAGGGCCCTACACCCTAAACCCTAAACCCTGAACCCTGAAACCTAAACCCTAAACCCTAATTAATTTGGATCCTTCAAAGACTTTGCATGAGGATTCCTTGGCCACGCACTCGCCCAACGCTGTGACCTTCGCTCTGATCCACAAGCCCACACCTCGACTTCTGCCTCTAAAGCATATAGTATGTTGGGGTTATATTGGGGTTATATAGGGATAATGGAAAAGAAAATGGAAACTACAGGGATTACAGGGGTTATATTAAGGTATATATTGGGGTTGTATAGGGATAATGGAAAAGAAAATGGAAACTATTTTACTATTATATAGTGATCCTATGGGGTTCTAAAGTCTCCAGAAGCTGTCATTGGGATATTAGAATGCTTGTTATCAGGTTATGTAAATATGGGTATTGGGATATTATAGGGTTATATAGGGTTTAGGGTTTCAAGTCTCCGGAAGTTATTATTGGGATGTTATAGGGTTATATAAATATAGGTATTTGGATAGTATAGGGCTATATAAATATGGGTATTGGGAAATTATGGGATTATGTAGGCGCAGTTGGTAAGAAGATGGAGTTAAATACTATTTAGGGTGTAGGGTTCAGGCTTGTTTTAAAAGCGCACCTGGACCAAGCAGTCGTCTGTACATCAAAGGCATGAGGGATCCCAGCATTCCCTACTTGAGGGATCTTGGAAGTTCTGGGGAACCGATTTATCGTAAGGCTGCGCCTACGCCACCCTGAAGGCCGGGTGATGCCTGATGGCCACTTCCAGCTGAAAAGCAAGCACCCCTCTCGCACTCAGAAGGTAAAAGGTTCGTAGGGATTTCTCAGTTCCCGCGAAACATTTGCGGAGTGGATGGTCTATGCATGAAGCAGTCTTTCGTTGTGGTTCAGATGAACCTCAGCAAGAGTTGGAACAAAGGTTCTAAGAGGACTCCGATAGTGAAGGAGTTGGAGGTGACTCCCCCCCCCACACGCAACCATGAAAGCGATCTCGCCCATTCACTGCACTCGCGCAGTGGCTCGTTGTTTGGGGGTGAGGTACAAGTGAAGAGTAGCAGCGCAGGGCTTAGCATAGGACCTTCATAATATGTGTGTATATGTATATAACAACGTATATAAATACTTGTGTAGATGTATATGTATATATATATGTATGTATATTTATAAGCATATATATATATACACGCACACATACATGTGCACATTGTGGTGATGTTGTGAGAATGTTTCAGAGCTACGTGGAGTAAAGATGGGTAGGTCATTTGGGACGAGGAGAGGAGGTGATCTTTGGAAGGATAACATTTAAAGATCGATATGCGCCCTAGTATAGCCTCCATTCAGAGTTACAATCTTAAAGCCTCCTTGATGCCCTTTTTGACCTGACAGACCCTTCCTTGTTTCTATCATGGGCTTGTCAACCAAACCTGCGCGTATGAATGCGCCCACCTTGTATAGAGGCCCTGTTTAGTGTGATTTGTTTTGGTGCGGAAGGGAGGTATCTTCTCTCGCAGCTTCTCTCGATATTAGCCTGCCAAAGTTGGACGCAGATTCACCAAAATCAGAATCCCTTCATGTACCTCGCTAGGCCCTCCATCTGCTCTCTCTATATACCCTCAATTAGGTACTATATGCCCCTATTTAAGGGTACAGGGAGGGTCGTGGCTCAGACATTGAGATCCTATCAGAAGCCTATCCGGGTTGGAGGACCCCGATATAGACCCCAAGCTCCTCTACAACAGTCCCTATTGCAGGGACCTCCCAAAAACGTACCGGGACCCTAAACCCTACATACCACCATGTAATCCCTACACATCCCCTACGACCCTTTAAAGGTACCCCTAAGTTTGGGAAACCCGAAACCTTAAACCTTACCCCCCAAACCCTAAACCCCAAACCCCAAACCCTAAACTCCAAATCCTGAACCCTAAACCCCAAACCCTAAAACCTAAACCCCAAACCCTGTTAGGGAAGCCCAGGTTGGACCTGCTTCACGAGAGCAAGCGCAACGAGGTCTTCAAGCAATACGAGCGGGAGCCGCCTTAAGGGTTCAGGGTTTAGAGTTCAGGGGGTTAGGGGATTAGGGTTTAGGGGTTTAGGGGTTTAGGGGTTTAAGGGTTTAGAGTTCAGGGCGTTAGGGGTTTAGGGGTTTAGGGCGTAGGGTTGCAAGAAGCGCCGAGTTTTCAGCTTGAATGCAGGGGTATAAGAAAGGGGTATAGTATAGGGTTACATAGAGGCAAAATGTAGTGTTATATAGTTATAATGGAAAAGAGATTGGAGAGCACTGTTTAGGTCACTGTGAATGAGTTCGGAGAACGACAGGAGAAATTGTACTAGGAAACCAATGACGTTTCTGTAGGGTAGAACACTTTTCATGTTTCAAGATTCTGCTGCAGAAGTGCGAGTTGGCTTTGCTGATGAGCAGTGTGGGAGCATGTACGGTCATGGCTAAGGTGTATCCCCTGCTGATAGCAGCTCCCTACATAGAGCCATAGAGAGCCCAAATCGATTCGTGGATGTATGACGCTGTTCATGACGCCAGGCTATCCTTTGCAGGATAAGGACGATTCATGTGTGGCAATGGCTACCACTGCCCCTTATGACGCGGTTTTACAATTGGAAGATATGCGGTGGATCCTTAAAACATGCTGGGGGCGGTGGAGATTCCACTCAGTCGTTTGCAGAAAAGCAGAAGTCGGATGGCAGTTCAACTTTCTCCTCCAGAACTTTCGTAGCCACCAGGCGCCGGAACATTGAGATGAGAGCAGTTTACCCATAGACACCTTCACGGAGCCAACTCCCCTGACTCATTGCAGCAGGAGTTGCTGAGCTTGGCACCCAATCGAAACCTGGTCCCTGGCCAGCACTTAAACAGGCGACATGCTGTGCTCAATCTTGAGACCGGCAGGACTGCTAAGTACTGGTGTGACTAATATGTTATAGTTATAGTTGCTGTGAGAATTTTGGAGCACTGGTGCAACTACCACTGCTAGTGCTAGTGCAAGTTTTGCTTCTACGCTTGCCAAACTCGCTTTGAGACTCAGCATGTCAGATCCCAGCAGGCAGTAAAATGGCAGCGCCGCTCCTTTTCTTTGAAGCTCATATTTCATGTAGTACGGCCAGCATTCGGCATCTCACGTTATTAGTCTTTGTAAGCATAGCGACATGAGCTGTGTGGGGCGTTCATGTAGTCCCGCCTACCGTCTCCCGTAATTTTCAGAGAAGGTCAGGTTTTTTTAGTGTTGTGCTCCTGTGAGACATCTACTTCACAACCTGAGCAGATCCAATTGCCTCTTCTGCCTACTGTTTGGTACGTAGACTTCTTTCTATGATTCTTATCATTTCTTGCAAATCATGTCCACGGTCTTGCTTAGCGCTGCCCTGATGTATGGTCTGCGCTCGGAGTACTGAAGTGATGGTGTGGTTCAACTCAGAATCGGAAGTCTTGAGCCCTGGTTGACCGGCTTTCTCTCAACTTCGAGGTTCCCTGTCAAGATACTTCGAGCTTTCCCTAACGCTGTGATATAAGCTGATACCTATATGTCCTCGCCAGTTCTTACATAACCCCTGATGGGGGGACCTTCCTGTGGATCCCTGGGATCCCTGGGATCCCTAGAGCCCCTCATGTTGAGAACCCCCCTCCCCCCCCATGTGCCCATGTGGATGTTATGGCATACCCTAATCCCTATAAACCACGATTTCGCTTTCATGTGGGTTTCTTTTCTCTTCCATTCGATTTTCCAGAATTGGGGGTAATACCACCTTGATCTCTAAATCGCTATGAGTAACTTCCAGTGAATCTAAGATTGAAACCATGGGTCCCTAGTACGGGCCCTTACCCTGGGATCCTTAAATACTTGCAAAATACCCCATATGTACCCTTAAGGGTCCCCAGAATCCCCTACAAGGCCCACGGGCCCATACTAGCGGCCAATACCTCTAACCGACCTTAGAGTGAACCTCCATATGCTTTGAGCCCAGACTTGCTTGCCTACTTCGATTTGGGCCGTGGCCTCGAAGTCAGCGGTTTGGGAAGAAGTTTTTTCTAACGGGGGTCCTAGGGACCTCTGTTGTAAGGGGGTGAGGGTTTAGGGTTTCTCAAGCCGGAGTTCTGGGGACCCCTATAGCACAATCAAGGGATTATTTGCTGGCTGGAGCATGACCTCTCTCTCCCACACAAACCCCTTTCTAGGCCCAACAGA